TGCAAATATAGCGTGCGAACATACAAAGCAAACCCAAACAGCTGTACTCTTTGTACAAGTTTGTTGCTTGTTTTTTAGCTCAAATAGTCTGAAAACAGTGAATTTCTGAAGTTGATGATGTCAAAAATTGTAAAATTCAACTTTCCACATGTTTATTTTTACAACATCAAAGTTTCTGTAGCTAATAAAACTGTATATATATATATCACCTGAAACCATGGATAATTTCTTCCTTGCAATATGTTTGCCATAGAGCTCTTTTCCCTCCCAATATGGAATATGAATTTCTAAACTTTTATTTAACATGTCAAAAGGCTCTCCTATGTGTTTACCTTGAAATAACATAAGCTACTAAAGGCCTTGTACGGTTTGTATGTTACAACGATGTACTACATTAACTTAATGGGTTTACTTTTTTAAAATATTGCTTTGGTAGTTAGTTTTCTGTATACAAGGATTCCTGCTGTTTTAATTCAAGAGAGGGCATGAACAACAGCTTCATACAAAGCTAAAAGAAATAGGGTGGGGTCTTTTGTTGAAACAGCTGTGTATAATTTCTAAAATGAGTACAAAAATAAGTTTTACGTACAAGATAAAGATGAACAGACAGTATTTTTAATGCTTTCAATGATATTACCATTTCTTTCAACATAGTGGCCTAGCAAATTACAATATTAGGCCTATCATAGTATTGCACTTAACACTCATTGTCATTTTATCAAGAAGAGTAATTTCTAATATTGTTAAATAGTCTACAAAACGCTTGGCTTATTTGAAATGTAATGTCAGTTATTACAAAACAAGAATAAAACATTTGTACAGTCTTGTCAAGCCCTGACCACAGGCTTTCCAAGAGTGATGGACTTTTGGTTGGCAGTGGTCACCTGACTTATGATTTCCTTTGCCCTTGCTAGGACATTCAATATCCAGGCCAGCTCAAAACAAAGCCACTACACCTCCTCCTCAAATTTCATTGGTGGATCCCACATTCAGCTAGTGGTTCTCCTCCCTGTTGTAGAGGGCCCAAGCTTTACTCCCTCTTGCAGTCTGGTTCTGGCAGTGCCACTTCAAAGTAGGTAGCTGTTGATGTATGGGTGATTCATTGAGGATGTTATTGGTTTCTGGCATTTACAACAATAAACACCACTTGGTTGGTGGTGGCGGGGTCACTGTTTAGGTAAAATCCCAAACATTAACTTTGATCGAAGTTGATGGTATCACTGCTGGTGGCTGGTTTGATGATGCTACAGTTGCTGGAGCCAAAGGAGTTTCAAACTTTTCAGTGCCTAAATGATATCTTGCCAAACTTTAGCTTCAGGAAGGTTCTTTTTGGATTAGCAATGTAATGATCCCACCAAAGGAGCAGCCATAATAACTGTTGATGATGTTTCATTAAAGAGCAGCCTTCAACAGGGTACTAGTTGATTCTATGATGGTTTCTCAATGTCTAGTTTGGTTCTGAGTTGATTTGGGTCAGTGATGGCTCTGGGGTAGACCTTGTTGGTTGTACACCAGGTAGGCTTTGTTCCACCAGTGTATCCACAGGTGGCTTGGTCAAGATTGAGTTATTTTTTAACCGCCTGTACATCAGAGAATGGCCAGCAGTTGTCAGGGTCTGAAGGACTTCTGGAACTTTCAGGGCCAATCGATTTGCTGCTTCAATCAGAGCATGCACATCAGATGAGTTGCCAAGCAACTCATCTTCAACCATGGGTTATGCTTCCACCAATCTGAACATTAGCTTTGTTTCAAGGTCTTGTGAACCACTTGACTTGTCTCCTAGTTTGCCAATAATGAGTTCTCCAAGTTATTTCACTTTATTTGAGAAAGTGTGGTAAAAAAACAAGCAATGATACCAGCTAAATGCAAGAATAAGATCAGATAGCCAGAAGAATCAAGGATTGAGATATTGGTAAACCAGATTCTGACTGTTCAAAAATTCAGCTAAAAGTGTAGTTTTTAAAGTTGTAACTGCCCTGTTAAAAATATTATCTGGTCTTAAACTTCGCTTTAGACACAGAGTACTAAAATTGTTGTTCTGGTCAGGTTTCACTTCCACAGACTCACATGTATTCATGTGAATACTACCTGTAGAAAATAATCTTGCACCTGTGAATGTCCTGATCCTCCCAGGATCCACTGCACCTCACACTTCACCATCACTCAGCTACATATGGTCTAAGGGCATATAACCTGTATGTTAAGCTTCTAAAGAATACCTGCTACTCACCTGTTATGTCTAAATGAAAAATTGCATCTAACCATGCAGCTGAAGCTATATCTTTGAAAAACCTGTTTTTCTGTTTGACATACAATTACTCACATGCACTGTGAGGTTGCTGCTTCAGTCTATATTCTTGTGTTACACTCTCCAAGTAAAAAGATACCTATAAATGTATATATTGAAGTAAATCTGCTCAATGGGTTACTTTAGTACAGCTTTAGTAACAATATTTTCCTATAGATATTTAGTGGTGAATATTTTATTCATTTTTAAAATAACTAATCCATCAATAAAATACATTTTGCTTGCTTTGTGTTTTAGTAAAGCTACACAAATAAATATTTACTCCAAGAATATTATTAATATGCATTCATTTTGATTGAAGAATTACTTGAACTTGTTACCCCTATGTCATTTGGTCAACTATTTTATTCATCAGTTTTAGCAGTTGAGTTATAACACTCATTCTGGATGAAAAGGTCACAGGTTTTAAGATAAGAGTGGGTCTAAATTCTTAATTTTCTCAAGGAAAGGTGCAAAAGGACAGCCTTGAAAAACCAAATGGTCCTTTATTCACATGACTATGTTATTCTGGCTATCATACATACATGTCCAGATGGAAACAAATTGTTTCTGTACTGCCGGCATCACCACCCCACATCCAAGCTTCAATTAGCTATGCTCATTACTATGTATATATTTTTAGATCTGATCTGTGTAGCTTCCTGTTCAGAAGTTAATATTAATGAAGGCTGATTTACTCTTGGCAAACCATGAGCTTGGCATGATGCAGGTGCATCAGGAGTACACTATGGGTAAGGTTCAGTCACTACAGCTGCTGCTGTAGGCTCCCACCTCTCCTGCAACTTGTTCAAATGTACAACCTAGTTCCCACAGATATTACCTCTGTTAGGGTTAGAATGTCACTCACCTCACTTTGTATCCCACTTGAACTTATCTATAAAGATACTTTTGCAATATGCTGATGACACTGCAAGACATGCCTTGAAGACAATCACATAAATGGCCAAGGACTTTTCTTTTGAGCCCTGAACTCTGCAAATGGATAACTTGATTTTCCATTGATTCAAACCAATGGCACAATTTGACCATGGCTGTATCCCAGTCTCGTCTCAAAGCTGTTCATCATCTAAGTATGTCTTGACTGGTGTAGTCTCATTACCAAAATGACCTTTAGTCACCTACACCTCCTGTACTCTGAGATTAACCCTCATGGAAAAGTCTTGTTCAGCAGCTTGGGTGCACCAGATACCAGCAGGTCTTCTTCCCAAGCCTGTGGCTGTAATGAGAATGTGATCAAGAACCATAGTAATATCAGCAAAAGTCCAACATCCAAGATAGAGGACTTCTTTGTGATCCAATCTCTCTTTCCAACAGCTGTCTACCCTTAGTGATGGACTCTTCCTTATGATTGTAAGCCCTTCTTTCTGTTAAAATGCTATTTTCTCATCTAAAGATGTTCAAGCTTACCCTGTACAAAAGATTAGAATAGCACAGTGTGGTACACTTGTTAAGAAAACAGTAAACACTCTGAGATGTGTTAGTGTTGCTCCATCTCAGTGATTTCCTTAGTAGGCATAACAATTTAATCTCAAATTGTGACATGCACAGTTAAGATCTTGGAACTTTTCTAGGATGGTAGAGTGTAACTGTTTCTCACGTAATGGCAATTCCTGTATCAAGCTGGCATTTACATGCTTAACAAAATGTTTATCTTATTGCATAGTTTGCAATAAATGTGGTCAAATTTATACAGATCATATGGAACATAAGATCATTTAAGCCACATTAGAGAAAAATGAGATACTTGGCAAACATTTTGGCAGCATTGAACACATTATTGAAGACTTCAACTATAGGAATGCTTCAGTATGCTCTAATTGTCAACACACAACAGAAAGTGATTAGAAAAACAACTACTTATAAATATGAAACATTTAAAACAATTCCCTAATATTGTTCTTGAACACTATAGCAAGAGTTGTGATCACTGTACTGTTACACATAATTCTTTTACCATACTCCTGTTTTTCCTTTTAAATTACTTTTTACCAAGTTTGTAATTTTAGCTGAAAAGGAATGGTTGCTCAAAACTTCAAAATTTAGTTTATGATAAAAATTTTTGACAATTGTTAACCTATTTATTTGTATTACTATAGTACACGTGTCTCAAATCATAAGATCATCAATTCTTACAGTCATGCTAAATTATAACTTTTATGTAATATACATAATTATAAAGATTACACAAGAGTTACTTTTAACATCAAAATGAAATAAATTGCAAAAATAGTACCTTCTTATTTTTATATATTTTAAAACAGTTTTTTTAGACAAGGACAAAACAAAAAAGCATTACACTTAAAAGACAAATAAAACTTGGGTAGAAAATGAATGTGAGAGGGGTAAAAAATTGCTTAATATGAGAAGTATCTACAGAAGCATAACCCACACAGCAGTAGGCATACATATATCAAATTTAACTTCTATTCATAAACCTTAAATATGGAAAGAAAATGAAAATAAAACAAGACAACTCATATTCACGCTAACCCACATCTAAAATTCTGCTGTCACTTGTGGGAATGCATTGCTACTATTGAAGCAGAATTATTAAAATAAAATTAGAAATATTTGAACCACTGAAAATGATATTTCTCTGATTAATATATTTTATCAAAACGTTATTTTTTACAGGAACACACTGTCAAAATGAACCTGACTACCACTTAATTGAGAGTATTATTACACTTACCTCCACCATTCTCGGGATGTTGCTCCAACAAAGCAACAATATAGCAGTTTTCTACAACAAAGTAAGAGAAATGTTGAACAGCTTCTTCCTTTGTGAGTTGTCCTTCCCAACCAGTACTATGCTGCAAAATAGATTCTTCATCCAGGTGTGAAGACAGGCTCTCAGCACCAGATGGAGGAGGAAAATATCCCTGAAACAAAATCATTAAGATTTACAATAATTTACTAGCTTTTTCTTACAGTACAGAAATTTTATTAAAAACTTTCTTCACGTGTACATGTTACTTTATGTAAATGTTCAAAATTTTAATTAACAATAATTCTCCTCTTCAGAATGATCATGAAAATGTTTATGTTTTCTTAGAGAATGCCATAATTTCTTCTGTATTCATACTTTAATGAATAAAAATACACAGTAACAATACTTTATCTTTTGATAATAATTCATAGTATATTGAATTTAGAAAGCAGTTTAATATATCATTCACTCCACCCATAAGTTGTAACTACACTTCATGAACATGATATTCCAATCCCCATGATGACATTGGAACTCAACAATTGTACTCAGTCTGATGTAATAAGCTTTTATGAAGGATGGTGAAGTCCTTCTTAGCTACACTTTCCATAGATCATCCATTAAATGTAAATATAAGCTTCCTGGACCACATTTAAGGAAAACAAGTTCCATGGGTGCACGGTCAAGTAGCTTCACATTTATGTTGTGGAAGAGGATAGCAAGAATACTGGTTTCATTCTCCATGGTTCATAGAAATACTACTGTACAATGAGACACGTAACTTGATGCTTTATCCTGAAGTAGCCAAACAGTGTGGGTGAACATGTAACTTAGCACTTTATTCTTAGTAACCATACAGTGTTGTACAAGACTGGAGTCAGCATGTTCTTCTGATGGTAAATATAGCATGATTTACCTTTGCCTTACTGTGCACTCTATGAAATACAAATTTTCCATTACAAGAAAAAACTACGTCAATCATAAAGAAACAGAAAAACTGTTTTTACTAGGTCTGTACCATGCTGGAGAGCTGTTATCATCTTGTGGTCAGTAGCATATCATTGGGTTTATGCCTGAAAATATCATTAACAGTGAGAATACCCAACTGAGGAATCAATGTATTATAATCTTAATAAGTAAAAATGTAAGAAAAGTATATTTCATTACCAGGATAATTTTAACTTCACTCTAAGTTGATAGCTTGCTCTGACTGGGAGTTAATATCAGTTCTTTTCATGTCACAGTATTTCAAGTGCATCCTTGCCACAACCAACGTTGCAAGAAACCTCCAATTCTCACACACTATATATATTTCATAATTGTATTCAGATTGCCTTTTTTCCCCACCAATGTTTCTGGGTAGTAGCATGAGCAGTCACATTTTATGCTTCTTTACAAGAGCAGGATCTTTATGAATTTAAAACTTTTAGAATTAATTTGAAACAGGCACTTACCTCTGTACTACTGAAAGTCTCCACTTGTTGAGTTTGAGGTCATGCTGTCACAAAAAAAAATTCTAAATGTCCTTTACACACTGTAGAGCATGTGTCACTTACCCATAATTCTCTACTCTTCCACCTTCTATACAACTCATTCTGCAAACATCAGGGAATCTTACATAAGTTCTGCTTTCCTACATAATTTAGATTTCATATAAAGTTGAAGTCATGATGAAATTTCAGTTGTGGGGAGGCAGAAGGGAAGATATTTCATAGGTATGTACCTTTTTTGAAATTCATTTTAATTATAATAATGTAAGATTCAAATTCAGGTAGATTTACCTCTGAAATACTAAAAGCCAGAATACCCACACTGTAAAGGAGGTGGTAACTGATGAATATAAAAAGAAAGTGAAAATATAAAACTACCAGCTACAGAGCAAAAGGATAATAATCTAGATTTCAAGAAATATGTAGCCAAGTAGAGTCCGAGTAGAACCCAGGACCAAAAAATAATTTGCAGGACTGTATTTGAGGAAGAATGAGTGTAGCAGACCAGCTTCATAAAAAGAATGGGCTAAAGGCAATCAAAAAGAAGGCATTGTTCTTGGCAGTGTACGTCTTCACCAATTATGTCCTTTAATTCAGGCAAAAGAATTGTTTTGTGTGCAGTAACAGTGTGATTAAACTGTGAAGACAGCATGAGATGCAGGTGGTGGCATGAATAAGGTGGAGAAATACTATGTCTGGATTCTGCAGTGGAAAATTCTTGGGGAGAACAGCCCATACATGTATTATAAAAGGACATACTTTAGTGGCAGTAGCTCCTGCCAAAAAATGAAGCATTGCCATAAATTTTGTAGAGCGTATTCTTGATGAGCCAAATCTTTGATTTCTGTACCCTTGTCAGGTGGTACTTCATGTCTTGTTACTTGTATTAATCAATATATATTAAATTAAAATTGTATGAACAGCAAAAAATGAGATACTTCTACAAAAGAAATTTGAAAATGTAATAAGGTCTTGTAAAGTATGAATCTAAGTTTAACTTTTATCTAATTATAAGTTGTGAAACATTTACAATTTTTTAATGAACTAAGAAGTGTTTACAGAATTAATGGTTGTAAAATAACCATTTCTAGATTATTTTCAAAATCAAGTTAAAATTTTTTTATTTTTTAATGAAACTGTGATCCATTTTTGAAGATTAATATTACTTTGTAGTAAAAAAATCTTAGAAATTAAACAAAAACAATTGAAGAATTTCCTGATGCTACGCATCCATTGTCAAAATAGCATTTGTTTTGAATGAAATTACATCCCTAACTACTATTATTTGTTAAACAAAGATTTGTCCATTGACTCTTTCAATATGCACAAAGATAAGTAACAAATATTTAAATAATGCAAGAAAATAATTTAATCTTTGAATCTATGCATAAAACGTTTTGACAAAGAAGCTTGAAACTTTACATTTGAAACAGAAAAAAATTAATGCATTTAAAAAATTTAAACTTCTATTATGTGAATTTTGGTTAAAGATTTCAATCATCCCTAAACTTGTATAACTAATAACCAAGTGCCCCCATATATATGTATTTAAATTTTTAATTTCTTCTCACTGCATAATTAAGGATTACCAACAAGAAACCACAGAGTAATATACACACACAAACAGAACTCAGACACTAAACACCCAAATAAATTGGAATAAGTAAATTAAAACTCTTATCAGACTGGAATTCTAAACTAAAGACTTTATACAGACAAAATAGTACAAGTTGACAAGATTAAAAAATGAACTTGAATAATAATAATTACATCAAAAACTTAATCACCATTACTGGCATTTCAATCATTAAGCATTACCAATAACCAGATATTTGAATATGAGCACTATGTTCACAATGTCCACATTCAAAGAGATGTACAAGCCTCTTGCTTCAAAACACAAGAAGTAATGTGAGTATATGTAAATGAACAATGTCCCTACAACAAAAAAGATGAAATACACTTCAAATGAGTCCTTTCCAGTTTATACATATACATTCTCACCAACCATGCTTCTCCAATATTATTCTGAATTTGTTACTGAAGATCAGTTAGTATTATGAACTCTATAAAGATTGTGAACGAGTACAAAGAGGTCACATGGTCAGTCAAATTGACTGAGCCCATGTTGAGAGAGTAAAGACAGTATACCCTGAAAACCTATGTCAGGTACTAATAAATTTAAGTATTCACTCATGTATTTGGTTCTTCCTTGAACAAAGGTAACATAAAGATTGGAGTTCCCAGACAAAAAGATGAGCCCAGCTTTTATAGCCTGGGTAGTGTAATGTAAAACAAAAAGCACAAAAACTCCTGACTGCCCTTGCAAGCTCTTTATAAAGCCCTTCATAATGCCTCAGTTGCAGCACCTTCTGATGGGCAATAACATTGTATCTTTTGGTTAACTAGGTATACGACAAAATTATATGAATGATCGGACATAATAATGTAAATCATGATCTACATTGACACTAAAGCTCGTCAACAAAATTTTCTGTATAATTTCAAAATAGCTCAAAAATTAGCCCTCTATTGGCACAAACTTTCTATGTTCACCACTAGCCTTCCACCACCCACTTCTGCATATCTACATGTAACTGATTATGCAGCAGCACTCCACAACTCCTATTGTAACAAGCGCCCTTTCCACATTTGCACTCATTAATCATTTTGAGATTGGTCAAAAGACATACACCAAATGTCACAGAAAGTGGAGAGGCTGGGTGGAAAATGTGAGAAGAGGTAAGTATCTATCGGAAGTACATTTTCAGTGTAGGAAAATGTTAACTTCCAATATGATATCTTATCTCTTCTCACAAAATAACTAGAATCCCACATTCAACAGGTGGAGGGCTGGTGAAAAAAAAATGATCCCCTTTAGGAAGCACCCAAAGAGAGACCATTTGGTGTGGAACCAAAAAATAAAATATCACACTTCAGTGGGAGACCCCATCACATCTAATCCAGGTATACTCTTCCCCCTTGTGTGACCCATGGTGTTTTGAGTGGCTAGAGCGTGACAGACCATAGATGCAGTTCAACCTCAACCAACACCTGGTGGTATCTAGAATTGTACATGAGTACTGCAGTAGGTAGAAGATCACCTATCCCTTCACCTTGAAACAGGAATTGGTATAGAAGACAAACTTCTGTACCAAAATTTGTCTCCAGTTGCATGGATTTCCATCCCAACCAGCATCTGATCCACCAGAAACTGAGATCCAGTGATGGTAGGAAGATGGAAAACTCCAGTAGAATGACATCTCCAGTTCAAAACCTGGCAGATTGGGACTGGTTCTTCCAGTCTGCGGTAGGAGGAGGATACTCAGCCATACACAAGTAAGAATACATGTGCTCGTCCAGCTACAACCAACAACAGATCTGCTGGGAACCAAAAAACAGCAGATGGTAGGAAGAGGGACCACAAATCTGGGGTGCATTGAGCATGGTATGAGGAGGGATACCAGCCAAAACATATGTAAGAACTTACTTAGCTGAATCATCTTCAACCAACACTGGACCCCCAAGAAATCATATCAAGAGGATGGTAGGGAAGAGGAACGTCACAGCCTGAGGAGTCGTGACATCGGAGAGTGCTTCAACCAAAACTTGGCGGTATCTGGAATTATACATCAGTTTTGTGGTAGGAAGGGCATTGTGCCATCTGTCAGATACATATATATATATTAATATGGCATAGTGCTACAATCAAAACCTGGCAGCATCTGGAATTGTACATCAGATCCACAGTAAGAAGTGCTATACACCATCAACACATGCAGAATGCCACTGCCCTACTCTCAACTGAGTGGTATGATGCATCACTCAGGAGAACAGGCCTCCATGGTCCACCACCCCAGCAGCTAGCAACTGGTAAGTGGCAAAGACTCCTATACTCTACTAGAAGACAGTGCAACAAGTGACACTGATATGCTATTTTGAAAAGCAGAGCTACCATGTTGATGGAGTCAATCAACCAACACCAGGTAGGAAGAATCTAAATGCCATGGAGCATTAGAGATGGGCAGTAATTCCTATGTGCTTTACTTATGTGCATCCATGAGTGTACGGTATGAAGTAAAAGATCACGAGATAGAACTAATAGCGGTCCTATGGAACAACCCATCTGTACGGTGTGTGTAACCTAGTCCTACAACATAACTGTTTGGGCATAGATGACACTGAACAGAGACCACAAACAACACCTGGCAGCATTTGGAATTGTACCTCAGGTCCACAGTAGTAAGGACTAAAATGTAATTGACATCGAGCATGGTCACAGGAAGGACAGTGCGGATTGTAAAAAAAAAAGCATATCTGATCAGGCACCACTCGCCAAAGAGTGGGATCCACAATACACTAGCAAAAAGTTGGAAAAAGCAACATTTCACAATTCACAAATGCAAAAAATTAAGAAAATAATAAAGAAAAAGTAAGTCTGTAGCATAAAGGAAAATGTTGACAAATTTTTGAGCAAAAACAAGCAAGTATGTTCAGTACTACTGCCAATCAAGAAGTGATTAATGAGTGCAAATGTGGAGAAGGCGCTGGTTACAATAGGCATTATGTCACGCTCCTATTGGTGGAGAGTTGCTGCATAATCATTTACATGTAGATATGCAGAAGTGAGAGGTGGAAGGCTAGTGATGAGCATTACAAATTTGTGTTGATAGAGGGTAGTACTAATCGAGAAAAGGTATTTTGTGAGAAAAGGTAAGATATGGTATCAGAATTGCTTTTATGAAATTATATTAAAAAAACACATAAAAAAGTTAGTACTTACATGCAGTCTTGTACTTTGTTGCTGTCGAAGTCTTGATAAATGTTAACCCTAGTTTTTGATAGGGTTGTTGTTGGTGCTTCATTTAATTTTTATTTATTTATTTCAAATAAGCAATTTAGAACAAAAAATAATAGACACAAATAATAAGATACCATATAATTATTATAATTTAATTGGCTTTTTAATTAAGCTTTAAATGGGTTAAAATCATTCCCTTACTAGGTCAATATACTCTCAACAAAAGTAACAATGAACCTGTAAAATAAGATAGTCTCAAATACAAATTGGTAAGATAAAGTTTTCTCTTTTTAATGGTTAAAAATAACCAAACAAAAAATGCCAGAAAAAATTAGTAAAATTTTTTGTAAGATGGGATGGGCTAGGAGGGGCATGGTATATAGGTTTGGCTTTTTTGTATATATCTCAGTAAAGCAAGAAGACTGGGGTTATAAGCTTACATTACGACTTAACAATATCTAAACTATAAGTGTGAACCTTGACAAACATGTATAACTTCATGCAGAAGTAAATTATAATCTAAAATGGGCAGTTTAGGGCAAAAGTGTTATGTGATACCAAGAAGTGAAAACTGAGAATTATATTTAAATATCTTATTTTGAGATTAAGAAACTGAAATTTATATAATATCAAGACTTTAATTATATTTTCCTGACAAGTTTATTGAAATATCTTCATAATTAAGTTGTTTACTTAAATTTTGAATGTAACTGTAAAAGGAATGACATTTACACTATAACCCTATTGTATACCTAGTGTTAAATACAGCAATGAGGAAAAACAAGAAAATTGTACATTTCACAATTACATCATTTACTATGACCATGATGATGATGCCTTTACTGGCAAAACCATGGTCATAATGAGTGATGTATTTGTGAAACATACAATTTTCTTGTTTTTCCTCAATTCTGTATTTATGGAGTTTCACCAAGTACCGACAGTTTCAAGTATCAATTATTTAAATAAAGAAAATACATGCACCACTAAATATTTGAAATTACTCACATTCCTTCTAAATTGAATATGCATCTACTAGCAAGAGAAAACATGCAACTGAACTTCTGTTAAATTTAGTAGCAAGAAAAAAACATCAATTGGGTACCATAGGAAAATCATTAACATTAAAACAAGTCTTTAAAATGTCTAGCATATTAGCTTACTATATTTTTAACTGCACTAGAGAATTAACAACTTTGACTTTTACAATGCTTTGCACACCTCCTGTCCTGCCAACATGAATTTAAAAAACTTTTCTTTATTTTTAAAATGTCCTAAATAAATTTCAAATGTTTCTTTTTAAGTAAAACATTATAATTTATCCGTTATTTTCTCTACCCTAACTCTATACAAACTTGGTCAATTTGACCGACCTCGTAACTACCATAAAAAATAAGAAATAAATCAAAATTACCCTTTTTTTTCTTTATAGAATGACTTCAAATTGCAACATGAAACTACCTTTGTTTAGACTAAATAGCTTTAAACTCATAACAGTATACATTTATATTCTTTAATTTTATTTGTTTAATGCCCTTTGAACTATGTCTAACTAATAATCCCACCACAGAAGTTATAAATCACTTGTCAAATGTGTATCTCACATTAACCTATGAAATTACATTAGGCACAGGCTACTCTTGACCATACATCATGAAAAATGTTTATTATTATTTTTTGTTGTCATTGTTATGTATTTTACCTAATCTAACCTTTTTTAACATAATAAATGTCTAATTTTTATATCATTATTTTTTGTATAATAAATAAATAAAGAATACATATGAAAAACAAGAAATATAATACTTATCCAGATCTTTTTTCTGTCAACTGTCAATGAAACTTAATCATATTTTTTTAATACTAGTGGTAATACTACATTAAATTTGTTTTTATTTAATTATATAATGCCCCTAAGAACATAGAATAATAACACATAAAAAGCAGACAATATTCAATAACTATCATAATTTTTCTGGTTTCATAACTATGCGAAAAGAGCTAAACTAAGTTTGTTGATGTGTTTCCCATGGGAATAAAGTTTGAACTGGAAGTGAAATAAACAATTCTCTCTATTGGTTATAAATATTATAGTATTTAACATCAGAGAGAACTATTGGCAATTTGTGAAAGAGAGGATGTGACAGGTGAGCGTGGCAAAAGGGTTCTGATCTTCTATTTTATGGCTCTGTAACTATAAAAAATTGAAGGGTATAAGAATTATGCTTTGTCTGAGTGTTAAATTCTATACTTTTACTTACAGTTCCAAGGGAGCTTTCTCCTTTAGCTACAATGGACCACAGTATTTTTGGGCTAATTTGTTGTATGACTAGCAGTTGTTTGTGAAGTAGCCTGTTTTTTTCTTGTTAGAAATATTCATTCTCCTGTTTTATGGATGTGGTTCAACACTAGAGCTATTCCTTTCTTCAAAATGCTAAAATTTTGTGCTTTGCATAATTTTACAACTGCAGAATAGGAGGACTTCACATGGGTTTAATGTAACCATTCCAGAAGGGGTCAATTTTAAACATCATATGCACTTGCAAATCAACACACTTCAGCTGAAATGGAACAAAAGAGTAAAGGGTTTTAACCTATGTAGCCACAGGACAAAGGAAAAGTGAATGAATACAAAAATTGTTACTACAGGTCATGAACCATCCTCTTTACTTACCCACACGTGTTTCAGCTCAACTTAACCTATTTTGTTCTTACCACATGATCCAACATACAGGCTAATACAGCTTCTGCAGCATCTTTGACTCTCATAGAAGCTGGCTTTAACTCTTTGTCTCCTTTAAACTGGGGTACATCTGAGGCTTTAGGCTAGAAAATTAATATAAATACTTGTAGAAGAATATGAACAAAAAAATTTCTTTTTCATCCAGCTATCATGTTTACCAATATTTACTGGGTTAGAGATTATGCTTTCCTGTAGAGATTTTATACATTAGCTACTTGCAAAGTGGCCAACATGTGTGTTATATGTTCCAAGGTTGAGAAAAAGTCATAAAAATTTAAACTTATTACTGATTTTGTTTCATATACAAACACCTTTTTATGACATTCATCTTCCATCGGTTTAACACACATTTAAAATAATCAGCAACATTTGACATATTCTTTGTTAGTATTGCTAATACAAGACTTTTGATCATTACAATGTTTTAGTAATAAAATAAAACAAAGAGTATCATCTGAAGCCAAAGGGTTTTACTGTGAATCAATGTATGAAGTGGAAATAATTTACAAAGAATACATCACTGAGTATCATACCTATGGCAACAAAAGTAACTTTAGATTATAAAACATTATTAATATATTTCTTGCTAACTGGTTCTTTAAGAACTACAATAAGAATATATTGTGCTCTTAAGATTCTAAGCAAAAAATGAACAATGTATTGGAACAACTGAGTATCCTTTAAAAACAGCCTATTAGTTTTTACTATAAAATAATTTATAAATTTTTAACAGAGTATTTCACAAAGTAGAAAATCAGTAAAATTTACCCAACTAGTTTTGCCACTGGAGTGGTAGAATGACAAAAAACTAAAAATATTTGTTTAGCAGAACTGCAAAGAATGAACTATTAACTAATGTCAACACTCAGGTTAAGGACTTTATTTTTTAAGTTATGGCCCATTCATCAAGTAGTATTCTATACAAGAAACTCTTTGTATGTTCCTAAGTTCTGTATTCTTTGTTTATACCAAAAAATACTTAACATCTAAAAATCACAGTTATCTCCCATAAATACACTGCTATAAGATAGGTGTTTTCCCCCTGGATATGAATGATTCTGATTATATGTTTATTTGCATAAAAAAGTAGTTAATGGCTAAGTTTAACATTATTACAAAAACTGCTTAATGAATACAGTTTTTAAACGAGAAATAAACTGTCAAAGCAAAGAGAAACTTCTCTATGAAAATAATTATTTTTGTTTAAAATGTAGAAATTTTTCAATTTTAAGCATAATTTCACCTCATAATTAATTTCAACTAATTTGAATTTATAAACCATTTGACAAGTAATTTTTTTGAATATATTAATATTTTCTGTCAATATTTTAGATAGATGCTGAATCTATATCCATTTTCATTTCCAAGAAAACTAAAACTTCACAGTTATAACTGTTAGACTTGTGAAGTAGACATTATAGATGTGGTTCTTTCAGGTTCACTGAATCCATCATGTGTACACTGAATAACCTAGTTTATCTATGGGATTGTTAGGAAACGATTTGTAGAGTATATGATTAAGTATGGCCCAAATGTATCAAAGGAAAAACACTTCATTCAAAGATAAACAAAACAAAATGTGGAAGCACTATATCAATGGAAAGTGCTGTGTTCACCAGATGGCTAACAGTCACAACTATAATGAGAATGAACCATCATGAATGATATTGAAATTTGGAACAGCTAATTTTCCCAGAGTGTACTGCCACTGCATCACTTGGTCACTCCCATGTTGAAGATATAGGGAATACTGTCTTTTATATTTTTACATCTTTACAAGATTGATGAGGCTAGGAAACCCATTAAGACAAACCTAAAGGAATTCTCTAACAATACCAAAAATAAAAAGATCCAGTATCAAGAAAATGACTCAAGACACTGTGTGACTTGAAAAAAAAAAATCAGCTCATGTTAAAACTAATATAAATGCTGTATGTGAACACAAGCACTTTTAAGTACTAAAAATGTTAAAATTTTGTGAATAAACAAACATTCAGATTTTTAAACAAAAGAGAAAGAAAAACCTGATATTTCTTAAATACTGCTATGCAGTATTTAGCAGAGACTTGTATAGCACAGGTTTTAGCATGATATACCATGAACACGTTATCATTGAAAAATCTTCACTAGATGAAACAGTGAAAAATAACTTCATTTCTAAAAGAGATGCAAATTATAATTGGATAGTGCTTCTGTTTTGACAGCAGCATTGCACTGGCACCTACAAAACACTATTTTGTGAGTGCTTTTTATATATCTTCTGTCAACAAGTAAACATGATGCCTGTTATATCTACATGTCACAGGAGAGATTTAGAAAGAATGACAACAATACAATATTATTGCTTTAACTGGAAATAATCTTGTGTAACATCGTGTTCCAGATTTTTAATTTATGACAACACAGTAACTATAAACTCCTGTGACCTTGTTATGTATGTAAAAATGATTTGATTGGCATAATCAGCCCAATAATCTGACATGCACAAACTAAATGTTTGGTAGTGTATAGTTCATTTATGAACATTTTATTGAACTTATTCATAGAAAATATGATGATACTTTATCAATTTAAAATAGCAGATGTTAACTTACACTTTTAAAATGTATTTTAAAAACTTTAACCATGACCTAGTTGTGTCACCTTGTCAAATTTCTTTGTTTCATGAGAACAACCGTATATGTGTCACTGTGTTACAGAGGTTGGAGTACAGCAAAACAGCCAAGACTGAAAACGTAAGCTGCCAAAGTTACATTTTTAAGAGTTGCACTACTGATACAAAATAACTATGCATATACAAGCTACAGAAATACACAAAAACTATGCACAATAATTGTAAAAAAGCTTTTAATTGTACAAAAAAGTGCAAACAAAAGTTTAAAAAAATTACCCAAACAAAAACACAAGCTAGAGCCTTTTGCTCTTATTGCCTTAAATCAGACATTCAAAAAAATGTTAACAGTTGATGATTATCAATACAAATTGACACTTACAAATCACTGTTAGAAGTCATGTCACAGTAATTTAAGTATCCAAATACTATAGAATAATCAAAATGAGCTTTCCAAATGATCAGTCCATTATAAAATATAATAAATAACATACGGATGCTTTAAATGGATTTTGTTCCATAATATGATAAGTCCAAAAATTAATCATTAAACAATGAAGGTTTAAAATATGTTTGAAAATGTATTAAATATAAAGTTAAATGTATTAGTTGTGCAATAAAGTTGTTGAATCATAAGTAAAGAAAAATGTATCTCACAAAAATACTTCACTAATGTCATGATCTTTGGTACTTGGCACCTCTGTTTGTCTGTCGCTGCTCAGCTACCTACACAACCTACAAGTTTAGTCGACCTATAATGTCCCATGAGAAGACACAACTTATTATTACCATATCAGACATTATAACTGGCTTGAGCAGAAGAAACAATTCTGAAAAGATATAGAACTATCTTTACACACCTGAGATTTTGTCCCAGATATACCAAGCTCTACAACCTCCATAACAGTATGAATTGTCTCCTTGTCCTGCAGCAGATCCGGGTGTTCTGTTAACCAGGTTGTGACACACTGATATGCTGCTACTATGGCAGAATGCAAGTCTTTTGAATGTGCTTTGGCTGGCTTTGAACACTGATTAACAATGAAGTCACAAATCCATTTTACTGCTCTTTTACACTCAAGAGAATCTGATAAAAAACAAAGTTACATCATAAATTAAAAACTAGTAATACTAGTAAAGCACAGTGGTTCAAAGAAATTAGTACAGTGTATGCAAGTTCATAAACAACATCAAAAAATGTAATAACTCTTTTCACATTGGTTATTTATTCTTGTATTTACAGAGAAAACTAATTTAGCCTTATTAAGGTTTCATTTATTTTGGATATAATCTAATCGTATATAAAGCAACATCATTTATTTCTTAATACTAAATCAATATTATCCTTAACACAGGTAATGGAACCGTACCATAAAACTATGTTGCTGTATACGTCAGTCTCATCCATCAGCAAAAGAAAAAATTGCATGGGACTCCAACTGTAAACTGTCAACATGAATTTCATACCTTACCCCACTTGTAAGTACTTGTATGCAAATACAGGTATATAAGATGCCTATGCACCTCAGTTCCCCCTTTCAAATTCACTTTGCTATCTAAGTTAAATGTTTTTTATTTAGCCAATAAGAGTACGAACAACTAATATTTTTATTATAAAAAAATATTACATAACTAGTTTTCTGAAAGATCAAATATACATTTTGAAGAAGCAGTGATGCTACATAGCCTTATTAGTTAGGTGGTGACGTTTGACCAATTGCCAACATACAAGTTCTGATACTCAGCATTGTCAACCCTTATCTATAAATGGTATCAATATGCTTTTCCAAAGATGACATAAAATTTTATACCTAAATGTCCCTCAAACCAAATTAGACAACAAGTCCATATATCTTTCTGTTCTGAAAAAAATGCCAAAACATTTCAATATACAAATACATTATCAGGAACACAAAATGATTCTACACTGAATTTTAATATTAAAGACCTGTTTCAACCTTAGTGACTCACTGAAAATCTTTATGCATTTCTATAATATACGAGTTATTTGTTTCCTATACTGAAAATATATTTCTGATAGGTACTTACCTCCTCTCACATGTATAGCTATTCTCTTTCAGTGCTGCCCTCTACACACAAAACATTTTCTGCATGTCACAAGCCTTGAACCCCCACCATACCCCATGATCAAAGTGGTTCACTGCATCTCACTAGTAAATCATCATGCAACAACCCTCCACCAACATATGTGACTCCCTCTATTCAATTCTATTGAACTATCACTTAAAGATTAGGTAGAAGAGAATTACCAAAGGTAAGTACCTATCGGAAATATATTTTCAGTATAGGAAAACAATAGCTTCTGATATGGTACCTTACCTCCCCTCACATGTATAGCTAAAACCCCACATTGAATAGGTGGAGGGTCTGGTTGTGAGAGGGATAGAAAGAAGTATCCTTCAAAAGCATCCCAAGAACACGTAGGAAGTGTGATCATTGTTGAAAGAGGAACACACTTAGTCAACTGTACCACTTCTGTACCAGGTATACTCTGCACCCAGTGTGGAAATAGGTGTTGCATACATGGGCAGAAAGTGGAAGGAGCACAACCAAAAGAGAGAGAGAAAAACAGATGGGTTCAAACCTGAACTACAATATACTGAAATCTCAATCCTGGTGAAGAAAAACTGTAGAAGAACCATATACAGACAGGAATGTGGAGAAGCTAAATAGGCTGTGCCCCAAGGTGTAGAGTGGCTAGGGTGCACTGGACCCTATGTGGCTGGTCAATTCCAGTCCAACACCAAGTAGCATTGGGAATACAACTCCCGCCCTGTAGTAGGAGGTGGGTCCACACCATCTTCACCTCAAATCCACAACCACCCATACATCTTTGAAACTGATATCCAAATGACAGTATGAAGGGATGTGCCAATGTGGCAGGTCACATCAAACCAAACTCAATCAGACTGGTATCCCACTTCACAATAACAACCTCAAGTAGTGAAAACTCTCTGAGTTGGAGCACAAGAGGGAGAACCTTGACCCAAAACAACATCATCCTCTGTATAAGATCACACAGAAGCCGGAGTGTATGTGCATACAACATCAACCACCCAGAAACCACCACATGGAGATGGATATCGTGCCAAAACTACTAAACTGAGTTAGGATGAGGAAACACAACCAACACTTACGTGAAAACTTATGTTGATTGGTCCAGCTCTAATCCAAAACCACTCACTGGGAACCAGCATCAAGGTGATGGTAGGATGAGGGATCCCAATTGGAGGGGTGAACTGCAATGTGAAGGATTTACTACAAAGCAACATCCTTCTCTGGATAGGACTGCACAAAAACTGGAATGCAATAAAGATACCCCTCCATGTTTGCCATCTTACATTAAAGATACATCATAGTTTTTGAACTTGATCGTAACTTAACAGTAACTTGATCGTAACTTAACTCCAAAATATCTTCTTTTTTTAAAAACAACGAAGGCATGAGAGCTCTTGAATATATTCTATTGAAACTTGACAAAATTTACACACAGACTTTTGTAGATTCATTCTTAGTCGTAATGGTTTAAAAGTAAATAGGACTTCTTTATTCAGACAAAATGCACGGTTATGGGTACCAAAATGCCAACATGGCAGTAATTTTATGGAAGACTTAGAACTAGACTGTTCAAAAGTTATGCATACAAGCAAAGAATACGAAAATGATACAGCACTGATGGCTTGTTTTTTCATATGGATAGGAAATGAAGATTCTCTATTATCCTTTTATAGACATACTAATTATTTCCGTACTTCTATTAAATTCACTTTGGATTACTCTGCTACTCAATCAATTTAAGTTTTATGAATACAATTCTGTCACTAACAGATGGTTGTATACACGATATGTACCAGAAGCTGACTGACAGATCACAATACATGCACTATAAAAGTTCAAATTCACAAAGCTCACAATATCTTATGCGATGATGCCTTGAAACAATCACCTGATAAAAACTCCTCTTGTAAAAACCCTGAAAAGATGCATTCACCTCATTCTTCTTATTGACTGACTAAAATCAATTTTTGCTGATGCTCCTGTTGTTTCTTTTCAGAGAAACAAAACTTTAAATTCCTATTCAATTTATGCTAAGATCAACTTTAACCCTTCAATATATGGAAATCACTTCTGCAATATCAAGATTTGCCAATCCTGAAAATTTATGCAATATATTGACCAGCATGTTGATAAAGATAACCAAACAGTACAAAATAATAAGTCCCATATCTTGTACCATAAGAAATGCTGTTTATCTATTCCAATGTCAAAAATTCAACTTCAATACCAGCACAACTACACAAGAAAGTTTTAACTATCACAAACATACCAATATGGCTAAACATGTTAAAATGCTTGCCCATTCCATTCATGTTATTCAACTCACAGGTATATACACCGATTTTACATCAAAACAACACAGAGAAATTAAGGAAGCTTTCTGGAGAACATATAGGAATACTGTAAAATCAAATTGCATCAATCTAGATCCTTGGATTGTTTACTTTTGTACATTTCTAAAAAAGTTCCAGAAATAAGTTGTTTCACTTTCAATTCTTCCATTTCTTTCTGAGTTATTACTACCATTTTGTATACCTGCTAGGGTTAATCTATGTTTTTATTCTATTCTATTGCTTTATAGTTTTTTTGACTCTGAATAATGTTATGTCAAATGGCTTCAATCTTCATTGTGGGATTGTTGACCGTTTGTGCCTTCATAAAAAAAGCTCCAAAACTTTCTTGTTTTATTTTCATATATAGTAATACCTCAATATGTGTACATTCGATAAACAAAGTTTCGGTGTAATGAACTTTGGATTTTTACCATTATTTTAAACAGAAAGCTAAATATAAAGTAAAACAATAAACAAATACACTGAAATAAATAAATAAATAATAAATTTATTGATCTACAGTACAAAAAATAAATAAGAATAAAATTATAACAATATATGGATTCTTAAGCGTTGTGGATCAAGATGTTCATATATTGTTTGTTAACATTCGTTTCAGCTGTCAGGTTTTATGTGTTGGGCAAGATTCTTTACAATAGGTGTCTGTCAAGCACATAACAGTCCACACTACATTCCTTCCTCTAAAAACAATGTTCCTCTTCACCAGTGGAAGAAGGAGAACCTCAATCTGGGTTGTCTTCATTGATGGAGCCTGTCAGCCTTCCCCACAACTAACTCCACATCCCTTCTCCCACTGAAGTCATGAATGGAGCTATGGTGACAGTACACTATGTTTCTTTTACTTATGTCAATAAATAATTTTAATACTATACAGTATAAAATACTGGATAATAGTATTTTCAAATAAATTATCTTTGGTAAGTTATGAAGTGTGTATACTTTGAAATAGTAAGTTACGAAGGCTGGGAATGTATCCTCGTAGTAATGATGTTATAAGTTATTCAATAAACCATTTCAATATATGAACGAAGCTCCAGGAACGCATTCACTTTATATATTGAGGTATTACTGTATTAGAGAATAAACTGTTTTATATCTATACCTTAGTCTTGAATTATTATTTTTATATATGTGCATGAAATTCTTAACACCATCAAACTATTCCATATTTTGTTGCCTTAAGCTAAATACATGCCTTTGACATTTCCATTATCTAATGACACATCTCTCTTCAAATAAAATTTATGAGTTTTGACAAATACTTTCTGCACATATACTGTTTACTTCTTTTTCATGTCTATTACAACACACTCATTAACTTTTTTTGTTCATGAAGAAGGACAATCAACTATTCAAAACTGCTCAAGCTTCTGGGTCTTTTGAAATCAACTTAACATTTTGTTGATCTAATGACTCTTTCATCACGGTCAATAAATATGATTGTTTTAACTAAAATCTTTCTATAGCAATAAACTTAACAGTGAGAGAGCATAGTTAAAACGTTTTTAATTAAATAAAGAAAAACAAATAAAATAACTGTATTATATATATTTTTTATCATGGAAATAAATTAAAATTACTGACTATTTCATTTTGTGAAAACAAGAATTGAAATGAATATCTCAAATTCAACACTCAAGTTTCAGTACATTCAAGCTCACCTTGATTATTAGGATTAAAAGTGGAGGAACTACTTTCATGATAGAATGTAGATGCTGGAAGGGACTAAATATTAATGACTTTCGAACATAAGTAAACTAATATGATATATGAAATTAAGGTGACTAAATATATAACATACTAATTAGCTAAATGAACTAAATTCAAAATAAATCATATACTCTAGTACAGTTTTATACCCTCACTATCATCAAACAAGAACCTTGTTATAGAAAGTTGACTTTGACTTTAATGATATGGATTAAGCTAAATTAATAGCTTAGTTCAAATGGAGAAGTGAATTCTAATTGAAATCAGTAACAACAACTAAGAAGAAGGAAACTTTATCTCAAGGTATACGATGAGGTTTCAATAACATTGTTAGGAAGGATTAAGATGAAATGACACTTTACCTTCAAACAGAAAGTGAATTTGGCTGACACTGATAACATGGATCAGAGTATAAGTCTGTATTAACATTAAAACAGAAGGTGGATTTTAGCTAACACTAAGACAGGAGAGCATTTTATCTTAGCATTTAAAGTAAACTATGCACGATAAGCTGAAATTATAATAAGGATTAAGGCAGATAGAGATGTTTACTACATTACATAATGTAAATATCTGGGGGACACTGAGATTAGAGTAGAAAAACAGTTCAAATCAAGACCAGAGTATAAGGATGCTTTACCTCTTAATATATATAAATGGATTTTGGCTTTATCATACTGGTTAAGGTAGAAGTACAGTTTACCTGAAGATATACTGATATGTGTAACAAAGGCCAAGTTAGCAAGATACTTTTCTTGGATATGGAAGTGGATTCTGGCTAGCACTGGTAATAAGAATAAATAAACCTAGAAGAACATTTGATGTTAAAATGGAAAGTATATTCAGTTAGACTTTGATAATCATGATCCAAGTAGACCAGCAATAAACCTCCATATTAAAAGTAGAATCTGGCTGACCCTGAAAACAAGGAATAAGATAGAAGGACCATATATTTTGTGGTGTAAAATGAGTTTTGCCTAATAAAGATTAGCTTAGAAGGATGGCTTACCTCGAGATGGAAGATGAATCCTAGCTAGTCCTGACAAAACTTCTAGTGCAGCAAGAGACACATTTAAATCAGCTTGCCAAGCTGACATTAAACGATGACAAATCAGCAGGGTAGCTCTCAGGAAAACTCCATGAGCCGAATCTACAGATTAAGTTCACAAACATGATTTTACAACAGCAGAATAAATCACAAATTGGTAGTTAGAAGCTAATAATGAATATTTAAATAAATTTCCCTTAACAAAAATGTATTTCCATAAAAGTTGTAAGGTTAGTTTTACATAGTTGATGAAATTGACATTTTTAACTATTGTAATTTCAAGAATAATTACAAAAGAGCTTTATGAATTTAATAATACTTTTAGGAAGATACTTTATAACCTTTATAATTACTGAAATATATATTTAAATAATATACATAAGTTTCAAGATGTTATTTTATGAAAGAACAGTAGCAAGAGAACCTCCACTGCAGAAAGATAGAAAATCACTTTACATGTTACAGAACTAAGGTCCAAGTATAGCTCAAGAAAAACTTGTTACGAAAAGCAGCAAGAGAAACGATATATGTAAGATGCAAATCTTCACAATCTAAAACCTCCACCATAGTAAACTGCAGTGTGTGCTGCCAGGTCATATGTCAAACTACAATACAATTACAGAGATTATAATACCTTATATATGTAAGAAATAATTAATATTATAACAAAATAAGATTGCAAAGAACTAATATTCTAATATCCTCTGAACAAAATAACAAAAATATTATTCTACAGAGTTCTTTCAAGAACAGACCAAATAAAAAAACAAAAAACTTCAATTTCAAAAATGTAAAGTTCTGTAACAGCTTTGTCTCAATACAACATTGAAAACAACACATTATACCTGGATGTATTACAACTACTTTTCACCTAGAATACATGCAAATATACTAAATCTTAAAAGAAAACTGTTAAACTATCTGAACAACTTTAAAAATAAAATAAGATCTAATCTTAATATGGAAGAGCTAAACACTTAATTCAACTTGAAATCTAACCGGACTGCATACAGTATCTTTCTCAGATAAAATGTTGTTATACATTTCTTCTGTTAAAATAGGTTGGTGATCTTTGACCATGAGGAGTATAATGTAGAGAAAACACTGGTGAAGCCAACATTCACAAGCAAATGCAATATGCCCCCCCCCCCCCCCATCCATTTTATTTGATAAAATCCTCAGAATACAGTGGATTTCAAGAAAGAATGATAACCATGGCAGAAGTATGCATAAACTGAAATATATATGCTTCAGAGGGATAAGCTCTTAAAGTATAAACTCAAGCCTTCTTTGTGTATAAGCCGTATTGTAGCATATAAACCTGTGAACTTATAATACACAGGAGGTTAAGTTTCTGTGTAAATATATTTATTCACAATGATGAAAATTCTACAAGTATGTTTTTTAGAAAATAAAACTTATTCTCCAATACAATAGATACAATTTTATGCATTACGTGAATCAGAACACTAATGATAACAATGTTTGCATATGTAGACAGTCTCTTGGTTCAAAGCTCCCTATTACATACACTGTGAATTTTGTTTACCATGACCTACGTAAAATCTAAAGAGAGGAACAACTCCCAAACATTTCAGTTGTAGTTTGTGGTACATCTGCATTGCAAGGTATCTTTGTGCAAAGTCTCATTAAAACTGCTCAAAATATAAAGGAATAGCAGGCATAAACCCTTAACTTTACAAAACATTTTTACCTTTGACCCCTGTAAAATCTCAAGACAGACACCAATCTGTCTGATTCAGTCTGTGGGAATTTCCATATTATTCCACAAAGTCTCATCTGGACTGGTCAAAATATAAAGAAACAGCAGGCTAAAAACCCTGATTTTTTTTTACCTTTGACCTCTTTCAATCACAGGAGAGGCACAAGTCCTACATTTATCCACTTTAGTCTGTAAGGGTTGTCACAATGTAGCTTTGAGCCAACCCTGTTTGGACTGATGGAAATATTAGGTAGAAATGATTTATTTTTATCCCCTACAAGAATGGGAGACTAAATAAATTAAAAAAATGAACATGGTGTCCAGACATTAGTGAAAAACAACATTAAAATGAACAGACTATCAGAAAACTTGAAATTATAGAAACTAGTATAGACACATTCATGCATATACTTCAGACTCGTATAGTTTTACACACGATATTGTGTTTTTTATTACTGTGTCTGAGTGTATTGGACCAAGGTATAATTATAATTGTTGGAAAGAAAATGAAAAAAGAAATATAGCAAATACAATGTCTCCTTCCATAGATAAAATGAACCAATCACAACTTGCAGTAATGAATTTAATTATTTTGATTTACTATTAAAAACAGACAAAGCAGACTTTGACGATCTTACATAAAGAAAAGACTTTACATCTTTTTCTTGCTATTATCATATTGTTCAGACAGCTTACATTTGCTGAATGTTTATTCAAAAATAAAAGTTACTGCAACCTGATTGACATCAAGGCTTTTTCGAAAACTGCAAAATTTAAAAGTTCACAAATTTGGCTTAAGTTTTCAAAACAGGAAAGAATTTCATAATACGTTGTATCCTTAAAAAACAAAATAAAGTAAGATGACCACAATCCTTCTAAAAGTTTACAAACCAATATACAGCAGGGTTGTGAAATTATTTTCAAAAACATTTTCCCCAAACTTTGCAGGCAAAATTTCAGATGTTCCTGACCTGTACACAAACACATATACACACACACTGATATTTCTGCCTAATCAACACTATATTAGTCCTTGTAATCTGGTATACATGTTAAAAATTTCAGAAATACTTCAGATTATGGTACTGCAAAAAAATATCTTCAAACAAGGGCATTTCAAATTGATGGTAGCCATTAAAATATTTCATTTTTAGTTATTAAAGAATATTTGATCTAATTTATCAGTGAATATAATAAATTACATTATTATCACCAGATAAGAGTAACTGACCAAGATAACCTTAGAGTGTAACAATAATTGGTAAAATTAAAAGCAGGAATTGTGTATATATAAAGGTTCTGAGATTAAAAATGGGGGCCACAATTTTATTGACTTTCCTAGGTTTTCAATTGATTTTAAAATTTTCCATAACCACTTGGCCCTTTTTCCAAATTTCCTGATTTTACCAGTTTTATAGCACTTTGTAAAGTTACTGTGATCAGATTAGTATGGTGAACAAGATTTATCTTAGGAAAAGACTTAGTTACTAAATTTTCTAAGAAACTGACCAAGAAATGTATTTTGAGTCACACTGATATGAACAAGAAACTGAAAGTCAAAAATGTTCTTTATAGTACTTTTTAGTAACCAACATAACCACATCTTTATAATTAGTCCATAATCGATGATTCGTTAAATGATAATTATGCATTATTTGCAAGTAGTATGTAGTATTCAAGTACATTGATATCTGGCAGATTTCAAGTGTTTACAAAATGCAGGTTCTGGAAATGTTATGCTGAGAAGAAAGGAATTAAAAGTATACACAAAATCTTTATTCAAAATAAAGTGTGACTTTGAGTCTCTTAACTAGCTAGCTGATTTCTCATTTTCAACTGAACATTAACTGCCAGCTGTAGCAAGAGAGAAGGCAGGAAGCTCTTCTTTACTAGACAAAGACAAGATAAAAAATAATCATGTCAACACAGGACAATGACCAGAGCAAGAAGAATAATTAAATACTACACTGTGAAGTCAGATGAAAGTCTTAGTGTAGTATTCCATAATTATTATATATCAATGACCATTCCAATTTAATACATTCAAGGGAGAAAAACCCCAAACTTGTATGCTCTCTGTAACATCCATTTGAACGATTATGACCCCACTCCAGGAGGGTATAACAAAGAAAAAGGTTCAAACAAATATAAGTCATAATAGAATAAGGTAGAGAACTTGTGCAAGTTTATAACTTTCCCATGTTCAAATTACCAAAATGTCACTAACCACATGTACAACAGGTACAAAGTTTGGAAACTATTCTTCACTATTTATTGAATATATATATGAATGCTACTAATTCAAGTCTTGGCCTTACACTTTACATACATTTTTATTATAAAAGTAATTATTCAAATCAAACTTCCACATGACCTGGCAAGCTTTAGTTTTGTGCATTCAGGTTAAAGAAGACATTAGAAAAACAAATTTTTATAAGAGCACAGAGTGCCTGTTAGTTGTTAGATGAGACAGTGAAGGCAGATGCACACATTATTACCAGGATTAGATGAAACGCTGGTGGGTCCATGTAAGTCGAAACTGGAATCCAATCCCTGCTCAAAACTTGGGAATTCTGAACATTGAAAACTAAGGGAAGGATTCCCTTCCCCTGCATCTGTTGTTTCTGGACAAAGGTGTCAGTTAACAAAATGATGTAAGTTGTCTCACAATCCACGAAAATAAAATAAAAAAAATGTAATACTTCCCTGAGATATTGTAGAATGGTTTATCATGATAAATTTAATGAACAAATTGGCTAGAGCATTAAACTAATTCCTTTGTCCAATGTTACTTTCACATAAACATGCAGTATCTGAAATATCTAATAAGATTTTGTGTGTGTAAAGATGCCAACAGAATGAATCACTTGTACAAACCATTGCATGTGACATCACTTAGAGCCAAACTAAGGAAAGTAAAAGATACTTTATTACAGACTATTCTTGCAACTCATGATGAATCTCTTCACAGATAACACAAATCATGCAGAAAGTAAAACATTCAAAAAGTAAAAAAATATCTTTAACATGGGGTATATACAGTAATTTATTTAAAAGTGGGTGACAATTGTTTTACTTTTCTAATATATGTACATCTGTCTTCTAATTGTAGTACTGAAAATGTAAACATAATAATGCTATCCAGATTTCAAAAATATTTTATACGTGATATTTTGTAACATTTATCTAGTGTAATTCATAAAGAAAAATATTCAAACCTATATTTTTGCATAGCTCCAAGGAGCTGCTAGTAAACAACATATTTATAGTTTTGTTTTAGAATTTTTCTGCCCATCCCAAAGCATAGGTTTACATTTACTAAGACACTATCATACCTTGAGAATTATATACTCAAGAGTTTGTCCAGGAACTTTTTTTTCTCTTTCGCTGAATTCATTAGAAGCAATCTAACTCTTTTATGACTTCACAGAATGTGATCATAACAAGACCTGAGCAATTAACTTGATTATTTATGACTGTTGACTACTGTCAAGTAATATGATCAATTCATGTCACAATATAAACAAACCATTTGAAATAAGCATTTCCAATTATTCACACTATTCAAGTAATCAAAATATGTTCATAATAATTTTTCATTATTATTTTCAATTTATTCAAGTATGTTTAGAAGTTCATCAACATCTACATACTACTGTGAAACAGAAAAATTATCCCTTTACAAGCTTTATATTATTAATTTAGTCTAGTTAATTTCAAAATTGCTATTTTACTAATTCAAATTTTGGTATTTTGTATCAAAAATGCATAAGCGTATTTTAATTGAAAGTCTTTTGGGGCAACTGTGTATAAGAATTTGGACCTCAGCTGATAACCCAAATACCTTGAGGAAGTAAATATGTTATAAAAAGAAGAAAAAAATGTATATTTCTTAAAAGAACAGATATGAAACTAAAAACTGAAAGTAACTTAATTCTTGATTTGACAGGATGTATGAAAAAGTTCTCCATATTTGTAAAAGTATTCTGCAGTGCAGTGGAATAATGTGATGTAAGAGGTAATTAATGGTTTAGTGAGAAAGTGACCAGATGTAACTCCTGCATAGATGAACAATGGAATCTAAAGGGAAGTTTAGAAGACTTAAGAATAAACCACAGATCTGGGAATTTATTTATGATTTCTTTAGACATTAGTTTCTTTCATGAAAGTATTTTCATGTTAAATTATATTTATTTGAAAGTTACAGAAATTTTCTTATATGACAAAACATCAGATAAACCTTATTAGGTTTACAGCACACAATATGTGACAGCAAAATATTGTCATAATTCAAATCCTTATTTTTTGAATATTAATGGTATGTTTATTGCATTCAAACAATGCACAAAAATAAAATAACTCATAGTTTATTTTCAATGAACTATATTACTTTTAAATTGATTCCGATCAAGAATTTTGCTAGCAAAAATACCGTTACCAAGTCTGACTTGACATCATTTTGAAAGAAGAATTCCTAGGTCACTGATAAACATTTGTCAGTTTCTTTAGTGCTTTTAGCAATTTATAGCTACATGTGGCAAAATAAGGTATCAAAACTATGTTAATGAATATGTATCAAGTGAAAGAAACTGACTGAATATATAAAATGAAACTTTCTGATCAACAAAAACATTTAAATTCTGGTAAGGCTTTTAATTTTTTCAAAACAGTATCTCTCATAAAAATTTCTTCCCATAAATTCTATTGTTCTTCTCTGCAAGAACTATGTTCTAATCATTTCCCCATGAAACAATAAATTCATTTGCTATTGACATAAGTAGTTCATAATTACTAAATGGTATTTAAGCTTTAACTGTAACTATTTTTAAAGCTAAACTTTGCTAGTAGTTATTTAGACCATATGTTGCGAAATCACAAAAGGGTGGAAATGTAGGTCTGTAATAATAAAAACTCAAACAGACAAGAAAAGTCAGGTGAGAAACAAGGGTTGGCTAATTGTATTCTCAAGAGATGATAGTTTCTTTGCAAATAAATACTTAAGCTTAGGTTGGGCAGAAAAATTCTAAAAATTAATAGGTAAAATTTCCAATAGCTGTGTAAGTTTGAGCATTGATCGTTTTTTCTTTCAAATTTCACTATATAAATGTTACAAAATGACAAAATATCCACTCTAAAATATTTCTGAAATACAGTTAGAATTATTGTTTTTCCTTAAATTTTAAAATCTGATGAGCAAGTATCCACTCAACACCTCAAAGGTGTGGAAACAGTTAAGGGACATAAATTTGAAGCAAAAGAAAGCAGGACATAGAAAGAACCATGTCACTGTCTTCTGTTATTTCATGTGAACCATTCAGTTTTTACTTACTTCTGTGAATATGCTGTCCTTAGTGGCTGAAAGCACTTTACAGATCAATTCAGTTCTTTCACCTTATGTAAGTTAATTAAAAAACAAAAATATCAACACTTTTTTTAATATAATGAAGGTTAATCTACTTCTTTGAAAACTACTTTAAATACAAACATGCAAATAAATATTTACAGAAATTCAATATTGACCAATTGGATATTTTATAATTGTTAACTCATGGTATGTGAAAAGATTATTAGAAACATTATTTACTTACATTTTTCTAGCTATACAAACTTAGTATTATTAAATATAATACCACATATGAGGACAAAGTTATTTACCTGAGGACAGAAGGCTAGACACTGACTCACTCCTGGAATCATTCTGTCCAATACACTGTTCCACTTCCTCACTAGCAGTGGAATCTTGAACACAGAACAATAAGCCTCCTAAAACACATAAATATGAAAATATGTTAATTTTTTGGCAAAACTAAACTTCAAAGAAATAAAAAACAATAGTTTGATTGAACACATTGAAATACAATTATATTATATAAACTAAAACATTTTCAAAAACAGCACCTACATGTATACAGGATTTTCTTACAAAATGACAACAGCGAATTCCTTTCTGATCCAAGTACAAAGCACAGATGTTTTTTTCTGTAATATTTTTTCTTATTATTATCTGCAGTAAGAAGTGCATCTTTATTTTCTATTACAGGATCATTTAGTAGCTGACCCAATGTAATTACTAAGTAAAATTAATGAAATCATTAATGTTTTTAAAATTAAATCTGAAATTAAGGTGATTTTAAAAAAATAAAGATATTGTTGCGTATCTGCTTGTTTGTTAATTTCCCATAAAAATTCTTTCTGAGAAACTTCAGCAATACAAGTCCTTTCTTAATTAAAACTAGTTTATTCTTTCTCGATACAACTTTGCAATACACAGAATTTCCACAGTCAATA